GCAATGTCCTGGCCACCATGAGGAAAGTGGCTGTCAAGGCTCCCCTCTGTGTAGAATTAAATCTTTGCAGAAAAAAAAAAGCTTCTCCTGGGCTGGCTGGTTAACTCAGTTGGTTAGAGCATGGTGCTGATAACACCAAGGTCCAGGGTTTGATCCCTCTACCAGCCACCAAAACACACACAAAAAGAAGCTTCTCCTAACTGCCTCTGCTTTCCAACAGATCTGGCACAAGTTTAGCCAAAGCATGCTTGGCACAAGAAAGGTTTGGGATTACAGAACTACGCAAACAGCATGTTTANTAAGTCATCTTTTCTTATCAGTTTTCAAACATCTACAAACACACTCATTTGTAGGAAAGCCCTTGGACATAACTTTTTAACTGAGTGACAGGTTTCCCTACAGCCCTGAGAAGCAGAGGCTCTGCCTGAATTCAAGTCTTGGCTCTGCCTGAGTAAGAGGCACTGACTTTTTTTCTCAGTTTCATCGTCTATGAACTGAGGCCACTAACAGTTCTGGACCAGTGGGTTTCTACAAGCGTTAAATGAGTGAAATCACAGAAAGTGCTGAGAAGGGTGCCTGGCTCGTAAGCAGCACCCAGTCAATGTCAACCTACAAAACTTGACCATTATTATTCTAATTCTCAACGTTATCCAACATTCTGATAAACCAGAAAGTTTTTTTTAAAAGCTTTCCACATGCTCAGATCCACGATTCACACAGATGCGGATGAGGATAAAAGACTTTCCCAACCTTTCCCAACCGTTAAAAATAGAAGTGGACAACAATGCACAGTATTATACTCCACATCTCAGGAAGTCAGTGATCTACGCACTGCACACATGCATCGTATCAGTTAGCCAGATTATCTGATTAACAGTACCACCACCATCTCCTTCATCTAGACACAGGGCTCCTGCAGGGCAGTGCCTGGGCCCTCGTCAACTCCACGCCCCCAGCATAAACCTGAGCCTAGAGCAGGAGCACAGCACACGTGATGAGCAAATGAACCTGGACTGTGGCCTGGTCAACAATAAAATGAGGTTCTTCCAACCAAAACACAATGCAAAAAATGCACACGTGATAATGAGGACACTTTAACCTAGGAACGGCATGATGAGTTCGGGAACCCAGAATAATGGTGACTTAGATAATAGTTCTGTGATCTCAAAGGGCTCCCAGAAGCCTCTCTCAATCACCCAGAATGGCATTCCTGCCCATGTTCCCCATGTCTCATGGGGATGCCAGAAATCAAAAAGGGCCCAGCCCAATGCCCCATCAATACACACTCAATTATGTTCCCGCCCAATCCCATCAGAACTGAGGCTGGGACCCTGCTGAGCAGCCGCTGAACACAACAGACCAGGACCTGACAAGTACTGACGGGAGAGTAGGGTCTACTGCCCACCTTTAAGCCTTGTTTCACAGCTTGAAGAATTATTTCAACCACAGTCGTGGTTTTCCCAGTGCCAGGAGGTCCATGGATGATGGCAAGTTCTTTCTGGGACAATGCAAACAAAACCGCTTAAGACAATTCCTCACCTAGTTATCAAAAACCTTAAAGACAGTTGGGTCTCTGTTAAATGCTGAGTATAGTTCTCTATCAAAAATGAGAGTCTAAAAAAAATAATTTTGTCAAATATTAAATGAATCAATGGAGGCAAGAGAAAAGCCAGAGGAATGTAGACAGATACAATTCACTCCTTTAAAAGACTGGAGATCAGAAAACTACACGCCAAGTGGATGCTGGCTAAGATACATACAAAGACATGATCGATGTCCTTCCTAATGTCTGCAACAATCTGGGCGTTGTCACTCCGTGCTAGAACCGCATCAAGGGAATGCTGCTGAATAGATTCCAGGAGCCGGGCAGGGTGCCCAAGGCGCAGAATTCGTTGCTTGCAGCGAGCCAGACGCTCTACAAGATTGTCCACAGCAATGTTAGAAGGAGCACAGCATAGAACCTGGAAAATACCAAGTGCAAATTAGGGTTTGGACATTTCTTCTTTAATCAAACCACTTAAGTTTACACTAAACCAACAGAAAGCCTTAAGGGTAAAGAGAGAAGGGCAGAGTGTGTACAACAGTAATGTTACAGTGTAAACATACAGCTTTAACACAGGTGAAGACAGCCTACGAGACACACATTATTGCAAACTAACGTAACACCTGGATAACTAGAACCTAGATCTTCAAAATGCATTAGTCACCAAAGCACTATAAAAGGTTAAGTGACTTGCAACGGGAAGGAACAAGACTCAAAAAGAGTTAAGTGTGCCCTGAAATAATCAGGGGCTGGGGCATCCATCATATCACCAATCAAATAATTTTATCACCTGACAAAGTCAAACAAAGGGGATCTCTCTGAATGGGTTCAATCTTGCTTCTGGAACTGCAGCTCCACTATTAGATGTAGGTGGCAGCTGGCAGAGGCGGCGAGAGGAGAGTCTCTATAATACCCCCAACCTCAAGACGGTCCAGAATAACAAAAATGAAGTAAATGTATCTTGGAACATATTAGTTTCTAACCATACTGTTCCTCTTGTAAGTGACCATAAAATGACAAAGACAAACATGGCAAAAGAAACTACTAACAAATTCCAGGACTCTTCCTTGACCAAGACTAATGATGTGCCTCTNCAAAAGAAACTACTAACAAATTCCAGGACTCTTCCTTGACCAAGACTAATGATGTGCCTCTTCGGCTCTGGGCTTTTGAGAGTAGGTCCTGCTGGGTTCAGCTCTGCGTCCACAGCATTCACCACACGGTACCTGCTGCACACACGCACAATAGGGGAGCACACTGAGCCACACGCGAGGGGAGCAGGCCTGGACGTGCGAGGCCAAAACGAAGGTATAAAACACTATGCGAGCAGAACGTGACTGGCAACAGACCACTGAATCCAAAGTTCCAGAGCACACTCTACTCCTCCACGCTTGCACTCCTCCCTTAGATCAAGACATACCACAGTCCTTAAAACACAGTAAGTAAATTTCTAATTCAGTTTCCAGTGCACAGTAGCTCCTCAATAAATATTTGGCAGATATAAGATGATATTCAAAAGTGAGTGCTTTTAGAATTTCCAAAGGTAAACGCAAAAAGAAAATGCAAATTTACAAAACAAAGCAGCATGGGAGACTACAAACTGAAAAGGTGCTACAAAGTAGCCCTGTGGTTTTAAAGCTAACACAACACTGGAGTGTGCTAGCACAGGTATGACATAAAAGGCTTATGCGGGAACTCCTGCATCAGACCTGACCAAAACCAATGCTTTAAAAATTGGCCATGTCCAGTANAGTCGTGGTTTTCCCAGTGCCAGGAGGTCCATGGATGATGGCAAGTTCTTTCTGGGACAATGCAAACAAAACCGCTTCTTTCTGGGAGGCATCCAGGGAGGTGTTGTAGAACGTTAGTGGGTCTGCAGAAGAAGCAACAGCGTTAGACTTGGGCGCTCTTCCTGGCAGCGTGTGCCCAAGGAAATAAGCAACACACACAAGGATTGTGCTGGACTTCCCCAGGGTCAATCCAGCCAACACAACAGCAGTCAGCTTGGTTTTCAAAGAAGATTTCTCCCAGAACAGCAATCAGCACACTGTGGACCACATCGAGCCTGCTGCCTGCTTTCCTAAGTTTTACTGGAACATGGCCACGCCCACCTGCTTCCACACGGTCCATGGCTGCTTGCTGTTACAGCTGTGCTGAGCTGCAAAAGAGATGGCATGGCCCGCAAAGTCTAAATATTTACCATTTGTCCCTTTATGGGAAAAGTTCGCCAACTCAC